ATGCTGTGGCGCATCATGTATCCTGTACTGTGAAAAGCAGAATTACAAATACACTATCTAAAAGATGTCACATGATTCTAATGTGTCTACTGTATGTGTATGGTTTGGGACATAGTTATCACATGGTTTGATGCGCATATATGGGGCTAACGACCACATAGGAACCTAAGAGACGCCAATGTTGGATCAGGCCAAAGGCCCATCCAGTCCAACACTCTGTCACTTCAAATATTCAATATTTCAAAAACATACTGTTTGCAAGATATACTGGAATATGTGCAAGTTGTTTTTTCTTGAAATTCCAAGGAGAAAATATAGGCGAGGGACAAGTGACATACAGCTCATGATAAGGCGAGTTCTATTGTTATCATTCTGATATGCCCATACTATTAATCCTTGGTCATTAAAATCATGTTTGTTCTTCAATCTCAACTGTACAGTTCACAGCAACAATGAAGACATTTTTGTGTATGTGACATTGGTCTTGTCTTTAAGCATATGTCCTATTCTGGACCTGGGAAGAGTAGTTAGAGAAGACATGGGAACACTGGGTTGAAGGCAGATTAATGAATGCTGAGTGAAACTCAGAAAATTTGAGAATTTGGACTTCTGAATATAAGTTTAGCCTATAAATGAAATACTATGAAATCCTAACCTTCCCCAGAACCTGGGGTCCATGCAAGAGACTTGGGCTGATGTGACCCACAGACCCATACAATACAGAAGAGGATGGTTTATTAAGACAGAGTCAATGTCCTGAGTGACTTCCAACCAGAAATTTGCATATTTTGTAACATACCATAACCATGACAATTACAAAATTTTTAATGGCTCCAACTATTGAGTAAACATGAGAGATGTACATAATATCTATATACAAGAATCCAAGCGGAAAATGGTCAATAGTTTGCTAATAAATAAATATGCTTTGTCATATTTGTATAATTAAGGCCACCATAGAGTGCACAGAGAAACTGAGAAGATTATTATTATTAAACCTTCATCTATGAGGACAATAGAGAATTCAGCAATTTGCTTTCCATTCTCATGGCTATTATTAAGCTACATAGACCTTTTCCCATTATATGCAGGCAACTGAACCAATGGGAAATAATTTTTATCATTATCTTTATCATTTTACTATTATGTTTCTGTGAATGTATGTGCTTATACATAGTATTATACATTAGAATAGTTAGAATAGGTCATTATTCATAAGCCATTGTATTAACACATTTTGAATTGTTTTGTTTTGCTACTCACATCTCTCTATAATTGCTGGTAAGTTTGTACCAATATCTTGGAGGAGCAAAACTGGTGATCTTGAATGTACAGAAGGGTTTGGCTCTTGCACTACTGTGGATAACTGTTCTCCATAAGCTGGCTGATCATTAGTATCCTGCTTATTGGCAGTGAGTTCATCTAGCTGATCCATCTGCTGATCATCTGCACTGGGGGCTGGTTGATCCACTCACTCATTTTCTCCATCCACAGTTCCTTGATCTGTTGCCTACATACCCTATATGGTGCTGAAGGTAAGGCAATGAATCAGTTCTACTGATTATACTACTTTTAATTGCCACATTACAGCTACAAGTCAATACGAGGGTCACTCAATCATTGCTTGGGTCACTCAATCATCTGCCAAAAAGGGAATAATCAGGAGTTGTTATGGTCTTTGCGAGAATCACATTGTGATGCATATCATGACACTAAGCTAATGCATGGAATATTTGAAGTCACTGCTCTATTGCAAGCCAGTGTGGTGTCATGGTTAAGAGTGTCAGACTAGTATCTGGGAGACCCAGGTTCAAATTGCCACTCATGCCCTGGAATCTCACTGGGGGACTTTGGGCTAGTCAACATTTTCTCAGCCTAACCTACCTCACAGAGTTGTTGTGAGGATAAAATGAAAGAGAGGAGAATGGTGCAAGGCACTTTGGTTCCCATTGGGGAGGAAAAACAGGGTACAAATGAATTAAATAAATAAAATAAATAAATCAACTGCTGCAAGTGAAGGAAAGAGCCCAAATGCCTCCAGTCTCTGAATGCAGATCTCTCTGTGGCCACCAAACACCCATAGACCCTCCTGTGGAATGGTGTCCTAATGCATGGGCAACCACTGTCCCTTGGTTTGGGACAAAAAAGTCTACTATAAGGCTCTCTCTTTTGGGCTGAAGCTGCAGGAGGGTCCACTCAGATCCTTGACCCTAAAGTTCAGCTTGGATCCACTACCAATACACTGCTGTATGTTGCTATTGAGCAGCTCAATTTCAGCATTTGCCTCAGTGGATGTGAAGAGAGCAGTCACCTCCTCTTTCTCCCATGCAAAGCCTTCAATAGCCTTCTTACCCCCAGAAGATTTGAATGACCCCAAGAAACAAGATGTGGCCATATGAGAAATTTCATGGGCATGAAAGCACAAATGTCATACTCCCTCTGTAAAAGATTGCTCTGGAATTTACTTGCACAACCCCTTACACTGTTGAAAACAATAGTGCCCCAATTATGGTTGGTTGGTTGGTTTCCTTTCCAAAGTATTATTAAATTATTGTACCATACCTTTTGTCCATGATCCAAGGTGGTTCATAACAATTAAAAATAAATGAATCAGATAATACTAGAGTAACCATGAACTCTTGACAAATCAGAAAGCCATTGGAACATGATTAAAAATCTGAAAGCAGTTCCAGCTAAAAATTACAAACTAAATGCCAACTGGAATAAAACTTTTGCAGCTACATCCAAAAGTCCATAATAACATATTCCTAGAGTTTTGATACCACCTTGTGAAAAAGCTTTTTCACATGTGCTCATCCAAAGGATCTCAGATGATGAAGGAACAGAATGAGAATGACCTGAAACTCTCTCTGTGTTAAGTGCTGTCAAGTTGCTTCTGACTTGTGGTGACCCTATGAATTAATGTCCTCCAAACTGTCCTATGATTAACAGCCTTGCTCAGGTCTTGCAAACTGAGGGCCCTGGCTTCCTTGATTAAGTCAATCCATCTCATGTCAGGTCTTCCACTTTTCCTGCCACCTTCAACTTTTCCTCGTATTATTGTCTTTTCCAGTGATTCTTGTCTTCTCTCCAGCAAGATATAAATCAAAGATCCAAATTATGAAGACTGTATTTAATCACTAGAGGAAAAGGAAACTACAAATTCATAATATACTGTGTTATAGTAATAGATTAATTGATCTATTGCTATGGCTGTAGAACAACAATAGTTGTCCTTGATTTCTCCCATGGCATCAAAAATTAAAGAAGAATCCTCTAATTTAGATGGGCATCTTCAGCTTGAAGTTCAGAGCATGTTCCCAGATCCAAACAATTAAAATTATGGGAGTAAATGTAACTTTCTAGAAGCATCTGCAACTAAAATTTCTTGGTATAATCAAAACAGAAGAGTAACACTTCTCAAACTAAAGCATAGTTTGGGAAATTGGCATTTGTGGGCAATAAAACAATATTATCAACAATATATCACTATATTCTGTCAGAAGAAGACTAGGCATGGAAACTGAAGCTCATAAAACCTATGTTCCAAATATAATATTTTTAAAATGCACATGAAATTTGGCATTTCTTATTTATGAAAGCCTCATCATTTTCTGTTTTATCATATTTGGCTGATGACTAATTTCATTTGGGCAACTTGTCCTGTTTTCCTGCTGTTTTGTTTCTATTTGTTCTATATTGTTTTAAACCTGTTGTAAGCTACTGTGAGGGCTGTAAGAGAAAGGCAGGATATAAATTTATCAGAGATTTCAGAATTCTTTAGTGTTTTCTTGCTAGATTTTAGTACAGTGTGAGTGACCAGTTCTGTAAATATGGATACTTTTAAAGTGATCATGCGTTTTCTTGCCAGTTGGGTTCCAAATTGCCTTGTTTCTGTTCCACTGTTTATTTCTAAATTTTATACAGATCTTTGTTTGTGTTTTACCTTATAAGCCACCTCAAGACAGTTTTTTGAAGAGGTTGCATAGACATTTTCTAAATAAATAAATGGTTGATGGAAATTGTAAAATATGATCACAGTATGGAAAGTGTCAAGTCACAGACTATTCCCATAGGGTTTTCAAGGCAAGAGATGAACAGAGACAGTTTGCCATTGCCTGCCTCTGCATAGCAACCCTGGACTTCCTTGGTGGGCTCCCATCCAAGTACTAATCAGGGCTGCCCTGGCTTAGCTTCCAAGATGTGATAAGACTGAGCCAGCATGGGTCATCCAGATCAGAGCATGTTCTCTTTAACTATAGCTAATAATTCATTTCGTGATTAATACCATGAAACTAGAGGAGGTGGTTTGCCTGTTTTTTACAGGTCTCCCCTGGGCCAATGAGCATTGTGGGAACTCTGGCTATTAAACATCAGTGAAGGTGAGCAAAAATACACACAGCCATCCCTTAACAACACTGATTGTATGAACTGTGCCCAATGCAGGTTTAAGATAAGGTGAGGTCATGTGATAATCCATCTACAGATCATTTTTGTGATGGCTGACACCATTGCTTGGATCAAAGTGCATGCATAGAAAGTGCCTTCGCAGGAAAGAAGTCAGAATCCTATTTTCCACTTTCTCTGATTTTACTAAAGAATCATAACATAGGCATGAAGGTAGAGCTGCCCAGTCACCCTGCAATTACGTTCTGCAACTACAAAGCACCACACCATAGCTGGTGCCTATGTGCATGAAGCAATGTGCAGACAGAACTTGGATCTTCAGCTCTGTACCCTAAGCTGAACAGTCATTATTTAATGGCTCACTGCTCTGCTTCCATTGGCAGTTTCAAATACTCTTCAGATTGTTTTATTAGCATGTAGAGGCTCCCTCAAGTGGCCATCTGAGCACCTGAAAGTGCACTGTCAAAATAAGAAAAAAAATAATCCCAGGAACTCCAATAACATCATCTAATATAACCAGGTGTATAAAATATGGAAAACTACACATTTGTTTTGGATTTTGTCTTCTACTTATTGTAAATGGCACTCATTTCTTAACTGCTCAGGGACAGCAAGTAGTGGAGCAGGTACTTATGAGGGTGCTGGAAAGAGACCCGGAAGCAGAGCACCCGTAGCATGAGCAGCTCACACTGGACGATGCTGTCCCTCAGCTCCCAGAAGTGGGTGTCCAGCTCCAGCGGCTCGCTCCGAGGATGCATGTACCTGCGGGGGAGGCAAGAGGAAAGACGCTAGAAGGAGCCGTGGCCGGCACAGACCTTCCAGAGGGCTTCACCTCTTTCTTGGAATCCGTCGCCAGCGGCTAAGAACAGCCACAAACGGGCCTGAGGGGGGGGACATTCTATCCCAGCCCTCTCTATGACCTCTCGATCTTCTACGGAGATTGTGGCGCAACGGGGCCTGCGTCAGCTGGCGGGCCCCGGTCTGCCCACCCCTCCTTTGCCTGGCACCTGAAGGGGCAGTTCTTCTCCACTACCTCCGGGTATTGCTGCCACCACTGTCCCTGTGTCGTAGAATTCCAGAGGCACCTCCGTGAAGAAGCGGTGATAGATGCTGCACGCCGTGGCAACAGGGATGGAGCGCAAGCCCAGTTTCACACCTGCCTCCATGAGGAACCTGCAGACTTTGAAGTGCGTCCTGGCGTCGGGAGTTATCCGGCTGGCCTCCTGCAGCACGGTGGGATCCATGAGCGTTAACCCGCCCCGAAGCATCCAATCAAGCGCGGCTAAATGGCCTCCGGGCTCCTCATCAACGGGAAGGGGGGGGAGGTCCGAGGCTCCCGCGACGAGCCTCTCAATACCCGGATGTCTCCTCCTCAGTCTGCTAGTATTCCCGGAAGTGCTGCCACCGAAGCCCTAATGCGGCTCCCTAGTCGGGCGGCTGAGGAGACATCCGGGTATTGACGAAATTGTCTTGGACTTGATACAGATTTACACGCTGGACACAGAAATCTCCTAAGGGGAAGGCTGCTGCAGCCCAGTTCCACCAGCCTTCTGGCCACCCCAAGCAGAAGGAAGAGGCACCATGGACTGTCGTGGTCCCCCCCCACTTCCTTTTGAGCCTGCTGCTTGAGTGGCACTGAACTGGCACCAGCCCCCAGACAGTGGCACAAACCACCAGATCCTGCCTTTGCTCTTGGGCACGGTGGTGGCGGCTACAAGCATGGACGGCTTCAAAAAGGAATTAGATAAGCATATGGAGCAGAGGTCCATCAGTGGATATTAGCCACAAGGTATAGATAGGGACTCTGGGGCAAGTGGTGCTCTGTCTTCTTGGTGCTTGGGGGGGTCAGCAGTGGGAGGGCTTCTAATGTCCTGGCCCCACTGCTGGACCTCCTGATGGCACTGGTATTTCTGGCCACTGTGTGACACAGAGTGTTGGACTGGATGGGCCTTTGGCCTGATCCAACATTGGCATGTCTTATGTTCTTCTATCCGTGGGGCTTCCAATGTACAGCCTGACCCTGCGCAGCCGATGTCTTGAATTCTAGATTTTAAAATGGAAGTGTGAAAAGAAAAAAAATAAAAATAATAAAAAAAACTGCTAGTATTCAGTTCACTGTGCTAAAGAGGAATAGGCTCACAGCATTCAGTTATGAACTCAACATAAAACCATTACATGACGGCCTGTAGCCATGAATTTTACAGAGAGAGTAAAGCTGCCAGGTCCCCAAATTTTAAACACTGAGGCTCATGGGTGGTGTGGAGTGAAGTCGTGGATGGGGTCTGATTGTATCAGAGAGTGGGGCCTGGTAATGTCACACTGAATAGTTGTATTACACCACTAAGTATGTATTTTGGTGAGGGGGTAACAGTTTACCTGCGGTTTTTCCCACCAAATGGAGGGATACCAATGGCTCACATGTGGTCCTTTCCCACCTAAAGGAGGGATACAAACTTCACTCATGATAAGCACCACATCATCCGGCCAGTGATTAGGATACCACACAGGAGGGTAGTAGGGGATTTTTCCTGTGAACTGACTGACTTGCTCCCACTTGCTGGTGGGGAGGAATCCCAATTATTCCTCTCCTCGATGGACAATACCAGACTTGACTGAAGGGTGTCCAATGGAGCCTGCTCTTGGGCTGATGAGACAGAGGAATGTCAGTGATGGAGGAGTGCCCCGGGGTGTATGTGTCGAGTTAGATTCCAAGAGTGTTGAGGTCCCTCCACTTATTGTTGAGTCATTTGCCTGTCCCACTGTGGTCTGGAAAGCTGAGTTGAGCATAAAGGAAGGTATATTCGGAGGAATATGAGTCATTGACTGGCATACGAAAGTTGGTCCTCACCAATGTTCCCTCTAAGATATGGAGTCTTGTGAGCAAAAATTCTACTTTGTGAGCTACTGGCATTAAAGTTGTGAGTGAGCGATTTGGCTGCTGCATAAATCAGTTTGCTTTGGAGCCATTCTTCCTGAGCTAAGACAAAAATCTGTGAGCCGGAGGCTAAAAATCTGTGAGCCGGAGGCTAAAAATCTGTGAGCTAGCTCACACCAACTCAGCTTAGAGGGAACTATGGTCCTCACCCTAGGTTACTGGATTTTAATTTTTATACCTTTTGTGTTTTTATGAAAGGATGCTTTTTCCACCTTAATAAATTCTTAATAAACTTTATCATAGCGAACTAGCCCACTAGTGGGAATTCTTGTGATTATTATATCCCAATGGCAACATGGAAGGCGGGGTCGGCTGGGAGGCACCTGGGCAGGTTGGGGAGAGGGGCAGGTGGTCAGTTGGACGGGGGCCTGTGAGGGACAAACTGCCGCTGTCACCACCATGATGTGCTTCATTATGTTCTTCGGCCAGCAAGGGAAGCTGTACCTCCAGAACTGGTACCTAGCCACCTTGGACAAGGACAAGAAGAAGGAGGTGTGGGAGCTCATGCAGGTGGTGCTGGCCCACAAGCCCAAGATGTGCAGTTTTCTGAAGTGGCGGTACCTGAAGGTGGCCAACAAAAGGTGTGCCATTGAGGAACAAGACAATGAGCTGATCACACTGGAGCTCATCCACTGATATGTCGAGTTGCTGGATAAATATTCTGGCAGTGTCTGTGAACTGGGTATCATCTTCAGTTTCGAGAAGGACTACTTCATCTTGGACAAGTTCCTGATGGGGGGCAAAGTGCAGGACACCTCCAAGAAGAGTGTCCTGAAAGCCACTGAGCAGGCCGACCTCTTGCAGGAGGAAGATGAGTCACCCCGCAGCGTGCTGGAGGAGATGGGGCTGGCATAGCTGCTCACCATACAGTCTGAGGCCACCCTTCCCCACTGTCACTTTGCCCTCCCCCCACTGCCCAGTGGGGTAAGAGGTGGGGACTGCCCACACATTCCACAGTCAGTTGTGCTTGAGAAATCAACTCACTGGATGGAGCAGCAAACTGTACTGTGTAAATACTGATGAACCCTCCCCCACCTTGTGGGGAGGGCTGCCCTGTGTCTGCTGGAGGAGGGCCAGCCAGCACTCTGGACTTGGGGTGGGGAGTGGCACGACTGCCCCCCTGGCCAGCATTTCGCCAAACCACGGAATGGAGGTGTCTTCCCTTTTGGGGAATAAATTGTGAGTGGAAGAAAATAAATAAAGGAAAAAATATTACATCCCAATATCGCACATTTGACTCAGGGGTGAAACATCACAACATGACGCATTCACTATTTGACATGGTCTTTAAATGTAGATGGACGGGCCATCGGTGCCTGACCAGCACCACTAATTTGAAAGAGTGGGCATCTCAGGGCTCTGGTACCTAAACAGACATTCGGTTCAATGCATAAGGTTGTGGGATAGGATTCATAACTTCTGGAAAACTGGGGAGTGGTGGAAATGACAACAGTGGGAGGGCTTCTAGTGTCCGGGCCCCACTGCTGGACTTCCTGATGTCACCTGGTATTTTTGGCCACTGTGTGACAGAGTGTTGGACTAGATGGGCCATTGGCCTGATCCAACATTGGCTTCTGTTCTTATGTAATGTGTGCCTTCATAACAAAAACAGAACATTCCTAAATTATATGTGGCTGCAAAGTATTTCCTCCTACCTACAAATTATCCCATAAAAGACCAATTGTTTGTGGCTCTTGGGATGGATCGAACCAGCTTATCCACTGGTAAAAAATGGAGGAGGTAGCTCCCTTTGGTAATCAAAAAGGCTGAATTACCTTCTCTGGAATGCCCTTTAAAATTGTTTCTCTTAAGTCTCCTAAAATTGGGGGCTTAAGCACTAGGTTCCCCAGAGAGTACTACATTCAGGGTCGCAAAATCTCCTGGTTCTTTCCAACCCTAAAGATGCCAGGCAGGCTACAACCAGGGCTAGGGCTTTTTCTGTAGCGGCTCCACACTGGTGGAATTAGCTCCTTGAGGATATCAAGGCCCTGCAGGATTTATTACAATTCTGCACGGCCTGCAAGATGGAGTTCTTCCAGCAGACATTCAACTGAGGAGCCGCAAATAACAGTTTGACATAGACTTAAGAGCTAGCGCCCCGGAATCCATCATTGCCTGCCTGTGCTGTGCCTGTACTTAATATATAATGGGGCCTGGACAGCAATTTTAGAACTACTGCTGACCCACTATGGTTAATATTAAAACTGTGTTTTCACTATCCTCTATGTAGCATTGTACATGTAGCATCTTATAACTGTTTTATGATTTTAATCTGTTTTAGCTTTTAATGTAAGCTGCCCTGAGCCTGCCTCGGCAGGGAGGGTGGGGTATAAATCTAATAAAATAAATAAATGTCAATCTGCTGCACCGCTCTTGGGGACCATTTCCTGGCTCTATGGGGAGTAAATATTAGAACTCAGCCAGTTGTTTCTCACATGGTTGCTCCCAGAGGATGGATCTGGATTCCCTAACCTTAATTCTAGGAGTAAAGGGGCAAGATCACTACCACAGAGGTAGCCAAGGGAAAAATGTAGAAATCAAATCTGTAACGTTAGAGGAAAACCAAAATATCATCAATAATACTACAACCTCTGAGACACAGATGAAATCTTCTTTGCTATTGAAATTTTGGTTCCGATTAATGATTGTGAGTCCAAACATTTATCAAACATTGGCCATCAACATTAATTTGTTCATCTTGGCTTTCCATTGACCAAGTATTACAGTAGTTATTGATGAATCCCATTTCCAAAAAGGAGATCTTGTTAAACATTCTGTGGCATTGCCAAGGTCAGCATTCCAGTCTCCACAGATGATCCAGGGAGTATCTGAGCAAACTGACTGTATTAATAGAATCATACAGTCACAGAGTTGGAAGGGGCCATACAGGCCATCTAGGAGAGCCAGTTTGGTGTAGTGGTTAAGGGCGCGGACTCTAATCTGGGAGAACGGGGTTTGATTCCCCCCTCCTCCCTTGGGCAAGCCGTAGTTCTGATAAGAGCTGTCCTTGAAAAAGAGCAGTTTCTGTCAGAGCTCTCTCAGCCCCACCTACCTCACAGTGTGTCTGTTGTGGGGAGGGGAAGGGAAAGGAGTTTGTAAGCCGTTCTGAGACACCTTTGGGTAGTGAAGGGTGGGGTATAAATCCAATCTCTTCTTCATCTAGTTCAACTCCCTGCTCAGTACAGGATCAGTCTACAGTATCCCTGATAAGTGTTTGTCCAAAAACGAGCCGTGGGAGAAAGGAGGGGGAGGAGAGGAGAGTGGAAAACTACGAGGCTTCGTCATCGAGATCGGGACTGCGCCACCTAGTGGAGAGGAAAGGAGAAGCAGAGGATAAGTGCCGGTTAACAGAGCTTCGTGGCCACGTCGGCGGGAGGTTATTAAAGGGACAGCAGAAGAGCAGAAGAGCTAACATTTAACATTTAA